GTGTTAAACTGGAGTTGCAATATGCATTCATTCTTATTCAAATTGAACTATTTATGTTCTGCAGAGGGAGTGAGATTTAAAGAGTGACATAAAGAGTGATTTAAAGAGTGACAATGATTTTGTCTGTTGCGCCAGTCTATGTGTATTTGTCCTGGAGAGGGTGTAAGAGGGAAGATGAGAAACTGCCTTTCCCTCACTGAGTGTCATCCATCCTTCCTCTTAGAGTATGTTGTCATCTCATCATGCTAAGGGTGATTCTAGTGCTAAACATACATATTTTGTGTACAGTGTGAGCTTTAAACACAAGCCCACCCCTTCATTATCCAATCCCTAAATGAAGAATCAGTGACCTATTTCAATCCAGAGGAACAACTGATTTATGAACTTTTTGAGAAGATTGTTGAAGACTTTATCAATGCTTTCAAGATTTTAAGGGATAATCTTGACTAAATATGATTTCACCTTATGTGCTGACTTTTGCATCCTTTTCCCTCATAGGATGGGTCTTTACTGCCTGTTTATATTTACTTATCTGTCTTCCTCTGCTGGATTATGTGTGCTCTGAGGCAGGATCTCTGTCTTATTCATTTCATTTGGGGCTTTGTGGAGGATGCCCTGTATTGGCTCACTCAATATATTAAATAAGATATTATGACAATAAGAATTAAATAAATACTTACTGAATAAATGAGTGAACTTAACAAAGGAATCGTGGGGCTGGGTGCTCTTACTAAAGAGCAGAAGATATAGACTTTTTTTCTGGAACATCAATCCTGGACCAATGGAGTATCAAACACGGAAGCACCTTGGGTTTATCTAGTTACAACCCCTTTTTACTTATGTGTCTCAGAAAGGCAAAGTGATTTGCCCACATTTCTCCCGTTTAATTATTCTGCTTATCTTTCTCTGGAGTTTCTGGTTTAGCCAAATCTCTTTTAATGTATGATAACCAGACCAGACATGATATTCTAGTATTACTACCCTTGTCTCTGGGGACATATTTCCCCTTGGCATTTGCATTTGTACAAGTTTTAATTTATTTCAGTATTTTGTTGACTGTTCATCATAGAGAAAAATGAAAGATTGTATTTGTTCCTTCAAGGGCAGAAATAATGTTTTATTCATCTTGGTATCCTCTATGTTTTGGGCAATAATTGGCACTTTGTCTTTCTATTGGTAAAATGAATTAACTGGGAGAAGCTTTGAAATACTTGTTTGCCACTTTTATAATCTTAGAATCACAGTGCTTTTAAAGGCCTTTCAAGATGTAAGCTAATGCATGGCTTTTCAAATACAAAAGCATTTATTTTCCCCTGGCAAGATCTCTGTTCCATATAAATTAATTCCACAGAAATAAATTCTTAAGTTTAAAAAGTATAAATATTTTTACATATACATTCACATTTCTTTTTTATAATAAATAGAAATATTACATGTCATTTTATTATAAACATAATTCTAATTTTCTTTTGTTGTTTTTACTGTGCTGTTTCTGTAAAGTACTTCTTTTTAACCCATTCCTCTTCCTCACTTTCATGTACGTACATACACTTCCTTCCTCAGAATGGATACACTCTGCCTCTTTCTCCTCTAGCTCCATTTAGAATTCAAGTATTTTTATAAGTGCATATGAGTAGCAGAACCTAAATCACATATCCATAGCTGTAGGGAGTCTGAGAAATAGTGATTTTACTTCTCCAGACTTTTCATTTCAGGAGGTTGGAATGTATCCTGAGTGTGGCAGTCCACAGCATCCACAGTGAGCCTTAACTAAAATTACGTGGTCAGTCCTAGGTTTAAAGCAGTTTCATAGTCATAACTCCAGAGCTCTGTTGTAAGCTCATTAGGGACTTGCTGTAAAGCCATGAAGAGTTCATTTAACCTTTCTCGGCTGCAGTTTTGCTTTGTAAGTTAAATATAAAAGTAATTGTTAACTACCCGCTTTAAATCCTGTCCCGGCCCCTGTGTGTAACAGGGTCAGTATCCCATCCAGAGTGTTAGTAATTCCTACATGAAACCTGGTTGCAACATAGTAGCTCCGAGGTAACAGCTGGTCTCCCCAGTGTGGCAATGGTTCTGCTTGTGGAATGTGAGCAGCCGACCCCACCAGCTCATGAGCTGAGAAGCAACCATTACATCCCCCAGACCACTCCAGAACCTTCCTAAAACACAAGTTAGAAGTAACTATGTTACTTCCCTACTTAGGATGTTCATATGCCTCCCTCTTTCCTAGAGGGTTAAGATAAAACCTGTATTTCTGAAAATGGCGTGCAAAACCTTCTGTGATCTGGTTATACTACCTTATCTACTTCAAGTCTTTCTTCTCTATTCCTTAAACGATTCCAACTACAGCTATTCTTTTTTTAAATTTATATATATATATAATTATACTTTAGATTCTGGGATACATGTGCAGACCATGCAGGATTGTTGCATAGGTACATACGTGGCAATGTAGCTATCCTTTTTTGAATCCGGCTGCATAGACTTAGTTATCCCATGCACCATGTTGCTTCACACCTCTGTGCCTTTCCTAGTAAAACCAGAGTAGATAAGAGAATAGGCTTTGGAATCAAAACACTTTGAATCCCAGCTACCATAACTTCATAGGATCACTACCTCGCCAAGTACTTGGCATAGAGAAGTGATCAGTACACACTAGTTTTGTCGTATGTGAGGCAGTATAGTAAAGAAGAAATGTTCTGCTTTGGGACAAGACAGACTTGTTTCCATAACCATGATCATCTAGCACTTTGTATAGCTCTGAGTCCATGGACCATCACTTAGCTGTCCCTACCGTCAGTTTTTTGTAAAGAGCTATGTTGGGAATGTGGAAGGATTCAAGAGAGTGCTTTTAAGGTGTCCATCATGACCTTTAACCTAAGCAAATTAATGCAGGAGCAGAAAACCAAATACCACATTTTCTCACTTATAAGTGGGAGCTAAACATTGAGTACATATGGACACAAAGAAGGAAGCAACAGACTATTGTAGGGATCTACTTGAGGATAGAGAGTAGAAGGAGAGTGAGGATTGAAAAACTACCTATTGAGTGTTATGCTGATTACCTGGATGACAAAATTATCTGTACACCAAACTCCTGCACCATGCAATTTAACGATGTAGCAAACCTCCACATATACTCCTTAAACCTAGAAGTTGAAAAGAAAAAAATAAAATGTCCATCACATGCCTAGCACATGATAGACATTCAGTAAATAGTCCTTATCATCTTCATTATTTCTGCCAACTATACCTTAACTACTCACTACTACTAAGATTGATTACTAGGGTCTTAAGGTATCAACAGTCCCTCTTAATTTTTTTACTTGAGCACTTTTTACTTGATTAGTAGGAAGTGTTTTATTTGTCCATTGAACCAACTAATTAACATTCTTTGCTTTGGATTATCATAGCTTTGTGTTCCTCTGGCTACCAGGTCCAAGGGTAGGAGGCAGAAAAAAAGAAAGGAAAACAATAAATAAAAGACAAGCTTGTTCTCTTGTTCCATGGATACTCAGAACTAGAAGAAATATTTTCCAGATGGTCTTTCACTTTAAATGGTTTAATTTCTCCTACCCCATTAATATTTGATGTCATTCTCTACCGAGTTTAATTAATTTCCTTTCTCCAACTGGATAAATCTGATCTGCAATATAAGCAGACTCTTTTATCTCTTTAGATTAGAGACAGCATAGTTTAGGGATACTACTTATGTAATTTAGGTAAATGGTGCCTGTTTGAATCCCATGTTTGAAAGACAGATGCAATGGGCAACTAATGAAATATCTATTGAAGAAACTTCATATATAATTTATGGCTAATTATTCTTTCTTACTCACTGAGCAATACTTACCATTTTGGGAGAAAATCTTAGTCTGAAGGCTTTTGAGACTGTGGACTGATATTAATCTTGAATTCCATCATCCATGTACGTTAAATTCCTCAGAAGCAGAGACAGTCAAACTTTAGAGAGGCGATATTATCTGACATTAACATTTATGTATATACACATGTATTTCTAGTTCTAATTTTACTATGAAATTCTGCCATTTATTAAATTACAACTATAGTATATCTAGCAATGCCTTAGTAAAACCTGAATTAGTGTTCTACTTAGAACACTTACTGATCCAAGGGGAAGAGTTTAAGGCTTCTACCACTTGCCTAAGCATGTATAAGTTAATCTACATGTGTAGTCAGTTCACTGAAGGTACCCTAAAATAAAGGAATATTCTGAAAAAGGGACCTGATTCTAGATTTGGAGGACAAATGGGAAAAGACATGGCCAATTCTCCATTTGCTTCTTATGGAAATGGAGGCCCCAAAGGTGTTCAGTGATTCACCTAGAGTCACAGAGCTACTTACTGGCAAGCTGACATTCAAACTCAAGACTCCTGACTATTGTATATAAACTGACTGGCTTTAAATGAAAGTTGGCAGCCTTTAGAATTACTGACAAAAGCCTCAGAAATGTTATTTTCTTTATTCTCTCTTTTTTTGTCACAGTGCGAAGGATGGTGTTGAAATAGTCTTAACTGAAGAACATATTGTACTTAAATTTCTCCTTTTGGACAAGGGAGATGATTAGCTTTCATGGCTTCTAAGGATGAAAGATATAATGGGAGCATTATTTCTTCCTTTACGCATTCTTCCCTAGTGATCCGCCCCCTTCTAAGAGAATAACATCACTTTGTAAAGCCAGGTATATATTGCTCTCCAGTTTCAAATAATCACAGAGGTAAGATGTTTATAAATAGGGAATTTCTGCCACAGCATACCGTGACACTCGTGGCATGAGTACATTGGCGAGGAAGAGTTCATTGGATTCCCTGACCTCTAGGCAAGAGATTTCCTAGCTACTAAAAAGGAAGCCAGAATGATTAAAAACACAAAACTCTGTGAGCTACGCATGCATGTATGTAAGCCTCAACTCTTCTTAGAGACTGTGAGTTTACAGGTTTAAAAAAAGTTTTAATTTCTACAAATTTATATTGCAGACCTTTTCAGAAGCAATTAGATTTAATGCAGATTATGGAGTTTTTGAAGTGGTTAATGATGCTCCACAACTTCTGGAAAAACAACTAAAAAAAATTTTACTGAACCAGCAACCTCGAAATCCCATTTATGATGTTGTAAGGAAAGGGAAGAATGAGGTTAAACCTGCTCAGATGAATGCCCCCCATGAAGATGAGACCATTAATGTCAACTACAATATTATGGTAAGAAAGTATTCTGTTTTATCTTCTCAGATAGATAAAGCTTTTGGTCAAATTAACGTGAGTTTCCTTAGGCTTCTCTTTTTGGAATGTAGCTATATTTAACTTGTGTTGTATGTACACATAGTATTTGTTAAGCACTTTTCAGATATAATGGCCAGTTTAGCAGTTCTGTTGATGTTTACTTATCAGTTTGAAAAGATTCATGTAATTTATGAATATTTGAATATTAGGTTAGTTTTGAGTCATATAAATATGGGTATCCTTTATAATGTCGATGCATAATTGAAAATGTGGATATATAGGCAATGTATTTCATTTGGGTTTTGAACCAATCCAATCAAGCTGATGGGAATTGAGACTTCTGACCCTTAAGTTGCACTGTGTGATTCTGACCTCCCTAACCTTAAATTCTAGTCTCAGCTTCTCTTTAGCACGAGATCAGAAAACCTGGGTTCTAATATTGGCTCTTCTGCTTAATGGCTCTGTATACAAGTCACTTTGATGAACCTAATTTTCATCATCTGTCACATGATGCCTTTAGTACCTACTACTTAGGTTTCTTGCATGGATGAAATGAAAATAATAATGAATGTTTAACAATACTATTTCGCATTGATTCAAAATGTCTAGTATAACTAGACTGAAATAGGTCTAACATTTAAGACATAGATCTACTCTAGCCTGAAAGTTCTTCAATTCTTCTGTTACTGAATTCGAATAGTTTCTACTTTTAACATTCATCAAATTAAATGGTAATAGTAATAACCATGTTACAACATTGTTTTAAAGCCAGAATAAGGAAATATATTCTGTGATACATAGTACTATATGATTGATAGTTTAAAAATTTTTTACTAGGTGTGACAGTATTCATTGGTTTAGTCACTGCCTTCAGTGAACAGAAATTTTTGATTGCATGGAGGTCTTTATAACCTATTTATTCATTTTTAAACAAAAGCTCTTTAAGAGCTTCTTGAGTTACATGTTTTGACACAAGTTTCTCAAAAAAGATCTACTAGGTGATCTTATTTAATGTGTTGGAAGGTAGATTGATTAAGCATGTCTATTATAAAACTAGGGCATCGATTTAGAAGTTTTTAAACAGAGGCATAAATAATAAAAACAGGCCAGGCACCATGGCTCATGCCTGTAGTCCCAGCACTTTGGAAAGCCAAGGCAGGTGGATTGTCTTAGCTTAGCAGTTAGAGACCAGCCTGGGGGGAATCATGGCAAAACCCTATCTCTACAAAAAATATAAAAATTAGCCAGGCATGGTGGCATGCACCTGTAGTTCCAGCTTCCCGGGAGGCTGAGGTAGGAGAATCACCTAAACCTGGAGAGGTCAAGGCTGCAGTGAGCTGTGATCACACCACTGCATTCCAGTCTGGATGACAAGAGTCAGACCCTGTCTCAAAAATAAAATAAATAATAAAAACAGTAGTGGAGATAAAAGGAATTAAAAAATACTAAATGAAAAGCAGACAGAAAATGAGAAAAAAAAACCCAGGATAATGGTAGTACTGATTTTAAACAAACCACATCAATAATTAGTAGCATATTAATAATGTACATTAAGTGGTCTTGATGTCTCATGCCTTTGATTCTAGAGCATTAGGAGACTGAGGCAAGAGGATCACTTGAGCCCAGGAGTTTGAGGCTGCAGTAAGCTATGATGGCACCACTCACTCTAGAGTGAGGCCTTGTCTCTAAAAATAATGATATAAATGATATACATCAATAATTACATGAAATTTAAATGGCCTAAGCACCCCAAGTAAAAGCCAGAGTCAGGGATGACTGAAAAAAAACAGCAACAATTATTTGCTGTCTACAAGAAACCAACCTTAAAAATAAGACATAAATAGGTTAGAAGTAAAAAGGATAGTAAAAGGTATACCATTCAGTTACCAATTAAAGCTGGAGTGATATATTGACATTTGGCAAAGCAGCTTTCAGAACAAGGAATCTTACTATGGATAAAGAGGAACATTGCATAATGATAAAAGGGGGGGTCAATTCACCAAGAAAGCTTAATAACTCATAATATGTATGCACCTAAAAACAGAGCTTCAGAATGGTGCAAAAGCTGATAGAACTGAAAGGAGAAATACATACATTTATAGTTATAGTTGAAGACTAAAGCACTGCTCTCTCAGTAACTAATAGAAAAGATAGAACATCAGTAAGGATATGGAAGTTTTGAAAAACACTAGCAACCAAGTATATCTAATCGATTTTTTCAGAAAAGTTTATCCCACAACAGTATAGATTTTTTTTTCTAGTACATTGGGAATATTTACCAAAATAGACCATATTTTGAACCATAATAGAAACATACGTTTCAGTAAACTTAAAAGATTTGAAATCTTGCCAACTAGGGTTCTTTGACCACTTCAGAATTAAACTATAAATTGGTAACAAAATCCTTAAATACTTAATACATAACATACTCCAAAATAATTCATAGTCAAAGAGTAAGTCCCAAAGGATATTAAAAATTATGTTGAATTGAATAAAAACTAAAGCATAACATATCAATATTTGTGGGATGCAACTAAATTAGTCTTTGGAGGGCAATTTGTACCATTAAGTGCTTATAATAGAGAAGACTAAATATGATCCACTTGTCATACTAGACATATTTTTCTAGTGTGACATACAAGTGTCATATTAGAAATTAGGTTAAATTAAAGCAAAAGTAAAGAAATAAAGAACAGAATCAATGACATTGAAAACAGAAAAACAAGAGAGAAAAATCAATGAAAACGAAGGCTTGTTTTTTGAAAAAAAAAAATCAGTGAAATTAACAAACTTTTAGCCAGAATGATGAAGAAAAAAACAGAGAAGTTATACATTTCCAGAAATGAAAGAAGCGTTGCCATTACAGATCCTACAGACAATAAAAAAAAAAAGATATATTTTTTTAAATTTTTAATTGCATTTTAGGTTTTGGGGTACATGTGCAGAACATGCAAGACAGTTGCGTAGGTACACACGTGGCAGTGTGTTTTGCTTCCTTTCTCCCCTTTACCCACATTTGGCATTTCTCCCCAGGCTATTTCTTCCCACCTCCTCTTCCCACTGGCCCTCCCCTTTTCCCCCCAATAGACCCCAGTGTTTAGTACTCCCCTCCCTGTGTCCATGTGTTCTCATTTTTCATCACCCGCCTATGAGTGAGAATATGCGGTGTTTCATTTTCTGTTCTTGTGTCAGTTTGCTGAGAATCTGGATGTTCTCCAGATTCATCCATGTCCCTACAAATGACACAAACTCATCATTTCTGATTGCTGCATAATATTCCATGGTGTATATGTGCCACATTTTCCCAATCCAGTCTATCATCAATGGGCATTTGGGTTGATTCCAGGTCTTTGCTATTGTAAACAGTGCTGCAATGAACATTCGTGTGCATGTGTCCTTGTACTAGAACAATTTATAGTCCTTTGGATATATACCCAGTAATGGGATTGCTGGGTCAAATGGAATTTCTATTTCTAAAGCCTTGAGGAATCGCCACACCGTCTTCCACAATGGTTGAACTAATTTACACTCCCACCAACAGTGTAAAAGTGTTCCTTTTTCTCCACATCCTCTCCAGCATCTGTTGTCTCCAGATTTTTTAATGATCGCCATTCTAACTGGCGTGAGATGGTATCTCAATGTGGTTTTGATTTGCATCTCTCTGATGACCAGTGGCGATGAGCATTTTTTCATATGATTGTTGACCTCATATATGTCTTCTTTCGTAAAGTGTCTGTTCATATCCTTTGCCCAATTTTGAATGGGCTTGTTTGTTTTTTTCCTGTAAATCTGTTTGAGTTCTTTGTAAATTCTGGATATCAGCCCTTTGTCAGATGGGTAAACTGCAAAAATTTTTTCCCATTCTGTTGGTTGCCGATTCACTCTAGTGACTGTTTCTTTTGCCGTGCAGAAGCTGTGGAGTTTGATTAGGTCCCATTTGTCTATTTTGGCTTTTGTTGCCAATGCTTTTGGTGTTTTGTTCATGAAGTCCTTGCCTACTCCTATGTCCTGGATGGTTTTGCCTAGATTTCCTTCTAGGATTTATGGTGCCCGGTCTTATGTTTAAGTCTTTAATCCATCTGGAGTTAATTTTAGTGTAAGGTGTCAGGAAGGGGTCCAGTTTCTGCTTTCTGCACATGGCTATAGTCAGTTTTCCCAACACCATTTGTTAAACAGGGAATCCTTTCCCCATTGCTTGTTTTTGTCAGGTTTATCAAAGATTGTATAGTTGTAGATATGTTGTGTTGCCTCCGATGCCTCTGTTTTGTTCCATTGGTCTATATCTCTGTTTTGGTACCAGTACCATGCTGATTTGATTACTGTAGCCTTGTAGTATAGTTTGAAATCCTGTAGTGTTATGCCCCCCGCTGTGTTCTTTTTGCTTAGAATTGACTTGGCTATGCAGGCTCTCTTTTGGTTCCATATGAAGTTCATGGTAGTTTTTTCCAGTTCTGTGAAGAAAGTCAATGGTAGCTTGATGGGGATAGCATTGATTCTGTAAATTACTTTGGGCAGTATAGCCATTTTCACAATATTGATTCTTCCTAACCATGAACATGGAATGTTTCTCCATCTGTTTGTGTCCTGTCTGATTTCGTTGAGCAGTGGTTTGTAGTTTTCCCTGAAGAGGTCCCTTACGTTCCTTGTGAGTTGTATTCCAAGGTATTTTATTCTTTTTGTAGCAATTGTGAATGGCAGTTTGTTCTTGATTTGGCTTTCTTTAAGTCTGTTATTGGTGTAGAGGAATGCTTGTGATTTTTGCACATTGATTTTATATCCTGAGACTTTGCTGAAGTTGCTTATCAGTTTCAGGAGTTCTTGGGCTGAGGCGACGGGGTCTTCTAGGTATACTATCATGTCATCTGCAAATAGAGACAATTTGGCTTCCACCTTTCCTATTTGAATACCCTTTATTTCTTTTTCTTACCTGATTGCTATGGCTAGAACTTCCAATACTATATTGAATAGGAGTGGTGAAA